CCTTACACAAATCTCTTATAAAACAGTTGCTATGTTCTTGTTTCTAAAACTATTACAATTTAGTTTTAGTGACACGCTTTATGTAATAGCTACAGCGGGCATCGATGAAATTCACAGGGGCATCAAAATCTTTTTCTTATCTAATTTGCATTGCAAGTTGCACGTAATCAACGGACGGCTTAATTTTAGTGTTAATATTGAACATGACGATCCGTTCCTTTGAACACGTATGACTTTTACACTTCAGAGTTCCCAGCCCAATGTTTTATACCTTGATGACCTACAAATAAGGATTTCTCAATATATATTAAGGTGATAGAATAAGACACTGTCAAATCGTACTATGCAACTGTTGTCATTAGAATTTCATTTAATTGATCATTTGCAAATTAAAATTAATAGTTGAAAGAAAGAAAATATCTTTCTCTACAGCCATTGCTCATTCAGTAGAGGATTCTAAAATAAATAATGAATCATAACATTATCAGCTTAAAACAAATAAATCATCGGAAGCAAAGTCACAAGTGTGTTAGAGAATCAACAGATCATTAGTTTAGAATACAGAACAATTAATTGTCCAAAGCGTTTATGTCAGAAAAAAATAACACGTCTATAAATTATTGATATTTAAACGTGTCAAGAAAGAACATGTTACAAGTCAGAAATATTATGCAATTATGTTAGTCATTTATAATTTTTAATTTTGTTATATAATCCTTTCTTAGAGTAAGATCGAATAATCAGATACTCAAATAGATCTACATTTTTAAAGATATGTGTCCCTTTTTAGCGTTATTTGAGATAATGTCAACGCTATTATATTGTTAATATTTTGTCTTATTAAAAGTGTAATTTACTTATTCTAATTAAAAGATGTTAAACTGTACATAGCTTTACAGCAACAACACAAACTTTAACAAATAACACGTTTATAGCTAGAAAACATATGGTGCTCTGTAAAATAGCAATGATGATTTAATTGACGTTACATATATGTGACACCCACGCACATTATGTAATAATTTGTAGTTTCCTGAGTGATTGGCCATCAACAATTTCATTGAAGTCTATTATTGCTGATTCATATTTTATCAAGGTTGCAAGTTATTGACTCAATTACAGTAGTCAAACGATTTCAAATATATTGTCATATTAGTTGCAAATGTGTTATTTATGATAAGGTCAACGGGTTTACATTTATGACGTAATTGCAGACTCTCTACGGACACTTGTTAGTTAACGTCTAATGCTCATACAGTTACAAACAATAATAGATATGAAGCATCTCTAATGAAGACTTACAGTTAATACACAAACACGCTTTAAAGGCATGAGTGATAACTTAGAGACGATCGTGTCCCAAGTAACAAGACCTTTTATACAAACAGATTAATTGAAGAACACGTGTCTTATATCTACCGATGTCATATAATCTATTAAAAGCAATAAATATGCATTTAAATGATTTACGAAAATTACATCGTCTCCCATGAGAACAATTTCTGATATTAGATCTGACGTTAAAGGCATATCTGAATATAACATATCATACTTGTAGCGGAATGATTTTGAATATCAAAAATAGACATATTTATTGAATAAAGTCGACTTTTTTTCTCGGCAATTCGTATACTGTGGCTTATTTGAATGTTTCTACTTTTATGTCATTGGCACAAACTGAAATAATGTACAGTGTTTGTAATGAAATGATAAACTGGCAATGCTGCTCGTCACGATTTCATGCTTAATAAACAGAAAAAATGATATTAATACATGTACTTATGGAAACCAAAAATAAATATTTTAGGGTACAATTCATTGCTTAAAAAATGTATGTTTAGTATAATTATGTATTTATGGTAAATTCAAATTCACAATTTTATTGCTATATCTATTCTTATATTACTGTACAATTATGTAAACATATGTATGTGAGAATGGACCTATTTCTATATTATAGTATCGGTGTACATTTTTACATTATAAAATTATCTTATCAAACATAATTCTGAAACACTTGTTACTGTTGCGCATGCCGCAAGTTGTGCTCTGTATGACAGATATCATAGTTACCACATAAAAATGCAACACTGGATATAATCATTATTTCACGTTGCTTAAATATTGTTACATTGAACTGTAAAAGTAGTCAGCACTTTTAATTTTATCAATTTGTTTGCCGATATAAAATAGTTTGATAATTAATCATTCTGCAATGGACTATATGAGAGCTTTTGACAGCTCATTAAAGAAAATACAGAGGAAAAGAATCAATAAGGAAAGTTATAATCGGCACAATTAAAAATATTGCAGGCTCATTTTGATTGATCCTGTTCATAGAGTGTATTGTAATGTGCAAGTTACTGTCCACGCCCCCTAGCAGAGACTTAAGCAGAATTCAAAATTTAAACACGGTTATGGTGACATTTGAATATAGATCAAGAAACAGATGTGAATCATCCATTTTTTGTAGATATACGAATTGTATAAAGCGATAACTTCACGTTGACTATCACTTAATTTGATATTTCAAAGTCATATAAATAGTTTCAGTGATGAGTTAAGAAAGTGTGTATAATCATTTACTGAAACGAGTTTGCAGTATAATATTTCATGAATTGTCTATACTTTTTCTCGTTGAATTAATAAATGATATAAGAATAATATCAACTGCTTAAATTTTGAAATAGGGCTAAATACTCATATATGTTTTGATATCACAGTATATGCATATTTTAACAAAAAGTGAATAGACTCTAATCGAATACTATTTTGATATGGAATAAATATTCTTTGCATGGTGATTGCAAATAATTATGTTGTGATTCCCGCAGTGGGCAATTTATAGAAGTTTAATATATCGGCAATGTTTGATTTGTAATATTTAACAGGGCATTCATTGAAACGATTCATGAACGCTAAAACATGTCTGAAGCGGATATGCTTACTTTGTTAACAACGATAATAAATATAGAAAACATTGATATTGTCCTGTAATAAACAAGTGTGTGCGTAAATAAAGCAATTACTAAAAGTTGTAGTAATGCTGCATTATGTATGAATACACACTCTATATATAATGCGTTTGATCTTAGACATTTACTAGTATTATTAGTTATAAAGATTCAAGTAAAAATATAAAGGTATTTGTGTTGACCTTGAAAGTTATAAATAATATTATGTGTACTGCGTGCAATATATTGATATATAAATCAACTAATTACAAACGATTGATTCATAAATGATATAAGGTATGCCGTATGCAATGAATTTATCTATAATTTAGCTAATATAATTATACCGTATTCATCAATAATATATTCATCAATGATATAATGTATACCGTCTGCAATACACATAGTTACATATCAACTAACGAATACAATACATTAATTCGTAAATTATATAATGTATACATGTACAATATGCAATACATATAATTATATACCAATTAACGAATACCGTATAGAATATATTGATTCATAAAGATATTATGTATACCGTATGCAATACATATATTTATATATCAGTTTACGAATACCGTATACAATATATTGCTTCATAAATAATATGATGTATGTCGTATGCAATACATATATTTATAGATCAACTTACGAATACCGTATACAATATATTGATTCATTAATTGTATTATGTATACTGTATGCAATACATTTATCTATCTATCAACTTACGAATACCGTATACAATTAATTGATTCTTCAATAATGGTATAAGTTATGCAATTTATAAAATATACAAGGTATACAGTATGCAATATATTGATCTATACATGCATATCAATTTAGGTAAACAGTATTTTATATGTTGATTAATAAATGGCATGAGGTATACCGTATGCAAATAAATGTATTCATTAACTCTATCGGGTAAGCAGTGTAAATAAAAAGAACCAAAAGAACGCGCACGTATACTTTGTTTAAAATGATAAAATTGAAACTGAATAGTCTATAAATCAACAACATTATATTAATCACTATAGATTACAACATAAATCAAAGAAAAAAACACTGGTGTCATATGTTTGCCAGATGTTTGTATGCTTTATTTTTTCCAATCATTTATTAAAGTTTTGTATTAGGATTGCAAATTAAACTATTCTGAGGAAGGTAACCATTATTTAAGTATTGTTACTGAAGACAATGTTGGTTTCGCCCAACCATAAACTATCATTTCTGGCTAATGTAAATATATTGAAGAAAGCTAATTTATTGCAATAAAGTTTTAAATTATCTTTTCCATGCTTTTAATCTACCAACTGCATGCCCAATTTCCCGATATAGAATTAAACGATGTATAGTAATAGGTAGAAATGTGTTAAGCACTGTCATTTTACTAGTGTGTATAAACATGTACATTTAGACCTCGGAAGTTAATGTATATAGATTCAATAGTGGAAGTGTGAACGAGGAGATAAACTTATTTCCTACGACTCATAACTTATAAGGAATTTTAACTTTAAAAGGGTGCATATTGGGATGGAGGTAGGAAGAAAATCGTAGCTCGGAGAATTAAAGGTCCTTGCACATATTCCTTTATTTTTGATAGCGTTTTAACGGCCAGTTTGCAGGGTATATGTCACTCAAATATTACATTGTTGCTGACTGTCAGCAGTTTGTTCCAAACCATCTTACTGTACTAAAAATGCTTTAACTGATATTGATACAAAGGAGCTTGGAGAAATAACAAACAAAACACAACTACACGAAACAACAACAGCAACAACAATTTAACTTGCCTAAAGCATTTTTGCTGAATCGCTGAATATGTGACAATTGTTTTTAATCCTGCTGTTACATCGATCGATTCTCTTCTAAATGGAATTTCTGAGTATTGTCTGCTGATTTTCTTTCTATTTATTTTAAAATTTATATCGTGCAGCTTAATTGTGCATGCAATTATGCAATTTACTAATATCGATTTCGAGACACTTGTTTGATTAGCAAGTTGAAAATAAAATCACGATAAAGTAGGATAAAAACCGAAGCTCTCAATCGCTTTCCGATAATGTATTAATATGATTATGATACATGCGTTGTCACAGTGTCGTCTGCTGTAGGGATGTGAGTGGATATTGTTTTGTATTTATGAATTCGATTTAAGAAGACTTTTGTAGAGAAATTTTGCTTAACTGGATTAATATACTTGACTAAAACTGGGTCTAAACATTTGTGTTTGGTAGATAATTGTGTATGAATTTCATAAAAACATGTATAAGTGGTAAATCATGAAAAATCGGGATTAAAATTTAGAAAGTGTATGTATAACTTGTTGAATGAATTAAAAAGTAAACCACCGCGGGGTGTTGAAAGTGCTTTAAATAAATAATTTTATATCCTTTCAATAATCAATATATTGAGGAAATATTTGAATTAATGATTTAAAAAAATATGACTTTCTCATTTCAGTTTATTTCAAAAGTAATAGCAGCTTAGTATTAAAATACAATTTTTAAGATTGTGTTGTTTGAATAACATTATTTTCACCGATCTTAAAAATGAAAATTTGAACGTAAGGTGTTAGAAAAGATAAAGTTTAACTTACTAAAAATGACGTTGAAGGAAAATGTTGAAAGATGGAAGGACAGGAAAATGAACCTCGTTCGTTTCGGAATATTATTACTTGTTTATATAATTTACTTATGTTTTGGAGCTTTGGTGTTTTCTCTTGTCGAATCACCAGTAGAGGAAGAACTGAGGACGGATATTTATAACGCAAGGAGTTATTTTAAGGCAAATGCAACCTGCATTTCAGGTAATGTTTTTATTCAGTTGACACCTTTCTTTCGCCCCTAGCCCGCTGGCGGCAACATATTATACCCATGCGACCATTGCAGACCAAGATAAGTCGGCACAACTTCGTCGTCTGACCATGGTCTTCACGATGTGCTGTTCCGTCAATACATGTTTTTAAACTGTCCCTTAACTTGATTAATTGTTTGGCTCAGATTGATGAAAGACGGGGTTGTTCAATTTAATATATTTAGCATGGTTATATTTTATGGGGAAAATAGCAGTTCATTATGTTCATAGAGAGAAAATTTTTCTGCATATGTTACCTTTACTTAGATTTATGTAAGTAATTAAAGTACGAAACATGTATCCATCTGATAGCATTGGTTGTAATGAAGTTCGCATAATTATAATGTTCAGCTATTATCCGTATGTTGATGTAAACATAATCGGCAATAATCCCGTGTTTATTTAATGTAACATTTTTGGCAGAATATACTTCACCTTTAAGTTACATAAATGCATACTTCTGTTTTGAAGCGTTTACAAGTGCCATTGTTGCCTTTAAATATAAAATCACTGGTTCGACAAACGTGTATAGTGACCAATATTACTTTTTATTGGACAACAGAATAAAAAAAGATAAATAAGAAAAACAAATAGTGATGCACAACTGATTATTAGGTTTTACAAAACGTACATTGTACGAGTACCTGGATGTTCGATTTTAAGAATTATTTTTTACTGGAAAAGTTCCTTTGAAAGCAGTATAATTTTTTACCTATTTCATGGAAAAACTCCGCTTTGATACAAATGAATGTAGAAATTCGCATGATTACATTTTATGAAGTTTATCGTATAACAAGCTGTTGCTATTACCTAACGGGGCAATACTATATAATTTACATTAAACTTCATAGCGGCATTTCAACCATTGCTAATTTGAAACAGAAACAATATGCCACCTGCACTGTAACTCAACATTAAACCTAAAACGCTGAATAATGTTTGAAAGTTTCAGGCATTGTTATTATTGTATTGTCCGTGGCGAGAATGTAAATTGACAATACAATAAAATCAATATTCATTGTATTGAGTATTTAAGTTATAAAAGGTTTAAATAAGCGTGAACTTGTTTATATTTGCATTTATAGTTCTAACATTATTTGAATAATACAATACAACTTACTATAAACTGTTATTTTCTGTTACTTTCTTATGAGTCCGTGTTAGTAAAATAAAATTTACATTAACACCATTCAGTCGCTAAACTCTTTCATATATCTGACTTATTTTGAATTTTTAATATATGCTTATGAAATTGATAAGTTCTGAAATGGAAATGTTTTTAAAGATTGCAAATTACAACAAAAACAACCGAGAATTTCAGAAAAACACACACTTGCTTATATAGCGTATCTTTTGATTAATATTAATATCTTGTTAGTTTCATTATGTCCCCCAGTTTATGTTTTTTCCTTTGTATGTGTCAATCCTTTTCGTACTACAGTCTAAACTATTGCTGATCTCTTTTAATATTATCTTACACAACTCGGGACATTTCATTTATTTTGCAGTCAGAGTTATTTGATGCGAAAATAAAAATAAACAGAGATTGTATATGTAGCATATATGAAATGATAAGAAAATAAATAAGTATAATTATGTTTTTCTTTGAGTTACTTGAAGTTGCTATTAGTTCAATATACATTCAAATATACATTCATTAATAACATATGGCTCTTAATTAACATGCATGGAATAGAAATTAGTTATTATATCAACTGTATGGCGTATATATGCAAGAAATGTTGAATGCAAATAGTACTAAATGAAAAACGTATGACAAAATATGTTCAGGCTAATTTGTATTCTATTATACTGGCTACTTTTCTTGTAAGGGAACTAGAAAGCAGTAAAGACAAACATACATATATTTACTAAAAATCACACCTTAGAAAATGGAAAATGTTCCGAAGAAAACGATTCTTTTAGGAATATTATGTTTGATATATATTGCATATTTGTGCATCGGAGCTTACGTATTTTCTCTCTTGGAATTACCAGTAGAAGAAAAGTTAAGGTACAAACTTCAAGTTGTGCGAAATGACTTTCTCATCAATGCTACTTGTTTATCAGGTATGTTGGAGGTTAAGTCATATAGAGCTAAGAAGCTTAAAATGAATTTAGCACAATTCAACATTATGTCTTTAAATTTGTAACTTGACATGGATCATTTTGATAACTGTGACGCAAACATGATCCCCACAAGATATGACATAACTCTGCAATCATTCTGTGCAATATTAATTAAATGTGATTATTTAAGATTTCTGTTGTTAAAATGTTTAAAAACATCTTCAACTCAATGTGTTTTAGAAATATGTTTCAATGATCAGTTTTAAATGTGTATTATTTATAACTCTTTATTAAATTTTCAATATTAATGTCGTTCTAATGAACATATTAAAGATATTTGTCCTCACACAACTCTTATATCTTTTGATATTTTTTACAGTTGATGAATATTGCAAAAAAACATGATGACTGTTAATGAAACCACTACTTGTATCATTTTCTGATATCATTTAGAACTTACATGTCTATTGTTACAAATATTGTGCGATACAAAACACCTTATATACACGTTAATATTAGGTTTATTTGCTTTCTACGCTTGATTCTTTTATATTGACCTGCTTTGTCCTTTTTTATAGTTGAAGTACATGATCGTTACTATATAGTTTGCTTAATTGCATAAAAAGTGGCAATATGATTACAATATTTGTTGCTTGAATGGAAGTGTAAATAAAGAGAGTACTTGTACCATTGATCTGCACATTAATTAGTTTGCCGATGAGAGATCAATCAAACTAGCTCACTGAACTAAAGCAATCTTCAGACCAGGATAGCATTTGCCAGAACATGTTTCTGTCGAGAGCAGTTTACAACACAAGTTTTCTCATAGTTTTATGTTTTTGTATTGTGTCCAAGGACCACAAATAATGTCAATTTTTTTGCCTTACAAAGATCTCTTATTAAACAGTTTTCTGCGAGAGCAATTTAAAACGATGTTTCCACATAGTTCATTTTATGCTATTGTGTCCAAGGATCATAAACAATCTCACTCTTTTTAGCTTTACAAAGATCCGTAATAATACATTTTTTCTGAATATTTTTCGTTAAGAACTTTACAACAATGTTTTTACACAGTTTATGTTTTGCTAATGTGTCCAAGGACCACAAACATTGTCGCTCTTTATGCCTTACACCACTCCCTTATAAAACAGTTTTCTTGTTTCTTGCAATAGTTTCTAAGATTAAAATTTAGAGTATTGTTAAACACTAATCATAATAGCTATGTGCGAGCATCAATGAAATTCACAGGGGCTTCAAGATCTTTCCTTTATCTAATTTGCATTGCAAGTTGCACGTAATTTAAGGACGGCTTAGTTTTAGTGTTAATCGCCTTACAAAGGTCTCTTATAAAAAGGTTTTCTGACATGCTTTTGTCAAAGGACTACAAACAATGTCCCTCTTTTTACCTTACAAAGATCTCTTATACAACGGTCTTCTGAACATATTTCTGTCGAGAGCAGTTTACAATTAATTTTTTCTCATATTTCATGTTTTGCTTTTGTGTTCAAGAACCAAACCAATGTCGCACTTTTTGCCTTGCAAAGATATCTTATAAACCGGCTTTCTGAACATGTTCTGTCGAGAGCAATTTACAACAATGTTTTCACGTAGTCCATGTGTTGTTGTTGTTGTTGTATCAAAGCACCACCAACAATGTCGCTCTTTTTGCCTTACACAAATCTCTTATAAAACAGTTTGCTATGTTCTTGTTTCTTAAACGATTAAAGTTTAGTATTAGTGACACGCGTTATGTAATAGCTACAGCGAGCATCGATGAAATTCACAGGGGCATCAAAGATTTTTTTCAAATCTAATTTGCATTGCAAGTTGCACGTTATCAACGGACGGCTTAATTTTAGTAATAATATTGAACATGACGATCCGTTCCTTACAACACTTATGACTTTTACAGCATCAGAGTTCCCAGCGCAATACTTTTTCCCTTTATGACCTACACATAAGGTTTTCTCAATATATATTAAGGTGATAAAATAAGACATTGTCAAATCGTACTATACAACTGCTGTCATTAGAATTTCATTTTATTGATCATTTGCAAATTAAAATTAATTGTTGAAAGAAAAGAGACATAATGTCTTTCTTTACAGCCGTTGCTTATTCAGTAGAGGTTTCTAAAATTAATAATGAATCATAACATAATCAGTTTGAAACAAATAAATCATCGGAAGCAAAGCCACAAGTGTTTTAGAGAACCAATAGATCATTAATTCAGAATACAGAGCAATTAATTGTCCAAGGCGTTTATGTCAGAAAAAAATAGCACGTCTATAAATTGTAGATATTTAAACGTGACAAGAAAGAACATGTTACAAGTCAGAAATATTATGTAATTATGTTTTTTAATTTTGTTATATAATCCTTTCTGAGAGTAAGATCGAATAATCAGATACTCAAATAGATCTACATTTTTAAAGATATGTGTCCCTTTTTAGCGTTATTGGAGATAATGTCAGCGCTATTATATTGTTTGTATTTTGTCTTATTAAAAGTATAATTTACTTATTCTAATTTAAAGATGTTAAACTGTACATAGCTAACGGTATAAACAACACAAACTTTTACAAATAACACGTTTATAGATAGATAACATATGGTGCTCTGTAAAATAGCAATGATGATTAAATTGACGTTACATATATGTGACACATTATGTAATAATTTGTAGTTATTGACTAAATTACAGTAGTCAAACGGTTTCAAATATATTGTCATATTAGTTGCAAATGTGTTATTTATGATAAGGTCAACGGGTTTACATTTATGACGTAATTGCAGACTCTCTACGGACACTTGTTAGTTTACGTCTAATGCTCATACTGTTACAAACAATAATAGATATGAAGCATCTCTAATGAAGACTTA